GCATATTGTGCATTGTTTGTAAGGATGTAATCTACCATAGTGTTCATGTTACAATATAATTGGTGATTTTAGGATACTATCAATTGTTCTATTGAGAGATGTGTTATTGTGTTCTAAGGGTAAAGGGATGTAATAGATTGAAATAATTGTGAGGTCAAGGGAACTCACTCTTCTGTATTAGTTATATTTATAATATTGTTATCTTGAGTGATGTCCCTTGGTACTTCCTTCCGTCCTCTCTGTGTGTTACCATCGTGATGTAGTTAGACCCAATAAACGTGTTATATACAACCACAGGCTTCTGTCGTCAATCTATTATAATATATTTAATAAAAATCATTCATTTTCTTAATTTTAACGCATAGTTATATGAAGTTTGTTTTACGTCACGTTAAATATTATACTTTAAAAATTGTAATAACACTAATATACTCTCTTTTACAACAGCAATATAGAATAGCAATACGGCTACTACACTATGTCTTCAATTTATAGGTACATTTATTGAGCACGTTGATTTAATTTCACATAAGCAACACAATGCTACTATTATCTATCAATACCGCCAGGAACATCTTAAGACCAAACAAAATTAAAACAGATAAAACACTTACCGCATGCGCCAAGTTCAGACTGGGTTTTATTATTTCTACCTTTTCGGGAAAGATCCGATTGAAGCTCATTTCATCCCTGCCGAGAAGATTTGTTTTACATTTTATTTTGTATCTTTATTTATTTTATGACACTCGACGATAACTTAGTCTTTATATTTGATGATACAATGAAAAATTAGCTATTATTTACAGACGAAATCAATTGTCTACCCAACATAGAAACGCAAACACCTAACCCCACTTACCCCACGATCCATACCCAAACACACACTATACACACAACTTCCGAGATATCACCCTCAACAACGTCACCCGCGTAAACCACAACACAAGCAGTAGACCAAACCACACAGACATAAAAAAAAATAAAACCTCGTTTTAATCTAAGATTTAAAAAAAAAAGTTACTTACTCTGCATTTAAAATACTGTACTAGTTATAACTACCCATTAAATTACACTTGACCGACAAAATCGACAACTTAACCAGTCATGCGTGAAAATATTTTATCAATGGATATTTTCTTGACGTAACACCACGTGATTTAATACGTCTGAAAGTGCTTTGATTGAAATCATTCCTGACCCACAACGTGAAAGGACACGAACGCTAAGTTACCGTGCGTCATGAAACTAATATTGATATCGTTCAATTATCTAGCTCTAATGGGTACCTAACTCGCGTGCGGAAAAACCAAGGCGGCTGGGCATAGTTCTGACCACAACATCTATTAAGAATACATTAACTTGAACGTCACCTGCCTCATGTGTCTTCGGCAAGAATGGGAAAAAAGTGAAGTGTTTTAAATTATACGAGCCTTTAAAATTATAGCATTTTAAATCTGGTAGAAAAAAATGAAACGGAGCTTGAAGTAAGAAAATGTTTCACAACATATCCTACTTGTATGTGTTAACTAGTCTCAAAATCATTATTAATTTTAATTTTCTAACCGAGCCTGTTTGACGATAGTTTTAGGCTAATTTGCTTTACGAATGGAATGTAGCCTTTCAGTGACAACCATTGCACAAACACCCACACACCATCACCCCCCCCCAAACAAAAACCACCCCACACACCCAACTACCCACACGCACACACACACTCATACGCGAATAAACACACACATACACACACAAATATGTATATGTATATATATATATATATATATATGTATATATATATATATAATTCAGTATATATATATATATATATATATATATATATATATATATATATATATATATATATATATATATATATATATATATATATATATACATATATATATACTGAATTATACATTTGTATACATTTTGAGTCACGGTAAGTGCAAGTGCGAGTCAAACTTAACATCGAATGTTGTTGCCTAAAAGTCAAAATTGTAACCTTTGTATTGAGAAAATAGTGTTAGCTTCCTGGTCATGAAATGTGTGGCCCAACCTCAATGCCAAAGCCGGCGAATCGCATTCCACAGTAGTCGCCTCTCATAAGATCGCTCCGCTGTTAAGAAGCGCCAGCGGTGTGAAAACTGTTCAATGAAGCGTTTCTGATGTCTTTAAACTGTCGTATCCATTTCTAGACTAGAGAAATGAGGCCAGCATAGAATATTTGTTCGACTTAACGTAGGTGTTTGGCACGTGTGAAAGGGTTTATCTGACAGGTTAAGAACACAAATTACAAATAAATGTATTATTGATTCGCTTAGAACATTTTTGATTATCTATATATTTGTACTATAGAAAATGATATTTATAAAACTCCTACGATTGCGTTTAATCAATGTGTATGTGCTTGTTTGTTGCACGTGTGAAAATGTGTGTGTGTGAAGATTTTTATGAGGATTTTATTGCAATTTTAAAAGCATTCCAACAAAAATATTTTTATCTTCAAATAAATAAATTACTTTATTTTAGCTGAACAGAAAAAGTTATTGTTCAGTTTAAACTTAATTGATCTAACAACATAGAAGTTTTGGGTATCAGTTTTTGTCATTGTGTTGTATGACATAGATGTGCGATTATAATGATAGGTAGTAAACTTTTATATTAGATGCTAAAATATTAGCTTTGACTGATATTTACAGTATTTTGTACATTATCATTATTACTTTTTCCTTTTCGTTTCTCGCTGGACATAGGACCTCTGTTGAGGCTTTCCACTACCTACTGTCTACTGCCGCTCTTTTCAAATGGTCCCAGTTCCTTACAATACTTTCCGTACTCCCCCGGCATGCTACGGCGCCATATTTTTCAAGATTGTCAAAAGCTTGATAGGGAAGGTCTATCCTACGTTTGATGTCTTCGTTTTATCCTACCGACACAATAACCACACTACCAAGATATATACAGCGGTCTACTTGGTCAATGTTTTGGTTCTCTAATGTTACATCTCCATCTTGTTTATAAGTCATTTTTTAATGTTTATTTTTTTTTGTCTTTTATTTTAAGTCTTACTCGTTTTCCTGTTTCACTCAAAGCTGTAACTATCTCTTGTGTGTCTTGGAATCTGTGTGATAGTAAGACTATATCATCAGCAAATTATATGCCTTCCAGTGCTTGTGTCGTGGTCCATTGCACTCCTTTACCTGAGTCTGCATATGCTTCAGCAAGAACAGTAGTAGTGAGAGGCGACATCATAGTTATACTTGTTATGGTATTATACAATCCTATGGACCGTCTGCCAGTATGTAGTTTTATCTACGGTGGCGGGAAGCGGTCACACGTTTTTCATGAGAAGAGTAAAAACTATTTACTAAAGTTGAAGCTGATAGAAAACTACCTGTTATATTAATACATGTTGTTTATATTTGAGTAATAACGTTGTCAACATGTTTCAATAATATTATTCTTCATAATAATATTATTTTTGATACTCTAAGATAACTGTATTTAGTAGCGCTCGCAGATTACATAGGAATGTCTATATCCATGCAACATTGCACATGCAATTTTCACTTCTAAATACCAAATTGAACATAGAAATATCCTTATTTTTGAAAAATTAAAATAAAAATCTTCTGTAAAAATAAATATAGCTTAATAAACGGCTAATTAACAATTACAATACACATTCTCAACAAAAAATTATTATAAAAGTGTATAATTGTTTCTTCACAATTTTCTTTCAGGTATAATTTCAGCTGCCGCCCAAAACTGGATAAATATATGAATACAAACATAAGCACACACATAAACACAAACTCAAATACAAACTTTTTAGATAGAATTAAAATTGAGTGAAAGAGAATACATTTATTTTCATTTTGTTCTTCGCACTTTTAATACAAATGTTAAGTTGTAAATAAAATTTTATTTTGAAAAATTATATATATTGAGTTTTCTAGACACCAATTTAGATTTAAAAAAATATTAGACAATGGTGTTAAAGTCAAGTTCCTTACTATATGCATGTCATTCACAAACAGTTTTGCCACAGAGACACATGATCCATTTTAGCATGATGCTATATACTTGTATTATTAAATAGAAATATCAAATATATAGAATATATATATATATATATATATATATATATATATATATATATATATATATATATATATATATACATATATACATATAAATATAAATATATATATATATATATATATATATATATATATATATATATATATATATATATATATGTTTGAAAAAATGACTATGGACACCCCTCGAAATTTAGCAGACATACAAATCATTTTAAAAACTGTATGGCATTCAAGAAGATAAAAAGGATTTCGTACATACGTTTGTATATCTAAATGGTCTCTAAAGAAAACAAACTTTTAAATGTTATTATCACAGTATTAGAGTTAAATATGATTATCACAGTATTAGTTCTATGTAAAACTGTAATATATAGTTAGTTTAATAGATTTTTTAAATATTAATTACAAACAATGTCGTGGTTTAATTATAGAAACAATAATTACACGGAATATCATTCTTATTTATATTTATTAACCCATGTGAAATAGTCAACGTAGGTTATATTAAACTAACTGGTGCAGGTGGTGTTTTCAGATTAAGTCATAAGGCTGGTTAAATTACCAATAGTATTTCGAATTATCTATATATATAATTCTCTTCTGGGAGACGCTAGAAAACAAGCTGCAAGCGCATCGTTGCAGTCCCCTCTCTTTCTCTCTATTATTATCACTACTACCCCCACCCCATCCCCACATGGTCTGGTGAGCTGTGGTCACGCTTAATGTTTACAAATCGTAGAGCCGGGTTTAGTGACGGCTATTAGGGGCAGATAATTTAGTTTGAAACGATTTTAAACTTACAGGAGGTAACTAAGAGGAGACTGCTTTCAGAGGGGGGGGGGGGGGGGGGGGTGTAGGGTCGGGGTTAGGGGAAAGGCGGAGGGGGTTAGAGTTTTAAAGCAAATATTTTCAGTGGCAGCATTGGTACTGTCGAATTCACAAATTATGAATTACTGAAAAATAGAAAATAAAACAACTAAATAGCGACGTATGATACGCCCCGGATTGTCTCGTGTTAATGAAATAGCAAGGTAATTTCTGAATGAGTTTCTATTAAAGACTGGCTCGTTTTAGAATATAAATTATAACGTATAAAGATTCATGTATTACTTGTGTCATACATAACACATTATATATGTTTAACTCGATACATCACTGTAACCAGACAGTTCTAAGGGATTTTCTTTAGCTACTTGTTATTTTCACGTTTAATCCCTTAGGGTCAACGTCGTGACGAACTGAAGAATAAAGAACATTGCGTTAATGTCTTAAAGACATATATTTTCAAATGTTTTAATCAAGAAAAATTGTATACAGTTTGACATATATTTTAAATTAACTTACGTTGTTTTCTAGACAATGGGCGGACTCTGACACAATCCCATCGAAGTCCGTATTTGTATCTGGTCCGTCTAAATAACAAAACAAAAATACATTCCTTGTGTGTAGGTTTATCTGAGTGCCATTATAAAAACAAACGATAATAAATAACTTATTAAGCTTGAAAGCCTGCATATGACGTTTTATAGCTACTTATAGCAAGTTTTAACTGTGTGAAAGTTTGACAAACATAATCAAATTCATGTTATGTTTTTAATACTTAAAACAAAATACAAAATAGACTTTCACCTTGAATTTAATGACTAGATTTTGAAAAGGTTTGGTGGCATTTAAATATTTTGTATTTCAATGTTTATATTTTTACGAAGATCTAAGGCGTCGTCTGTTGCATTGGTGACATGTACTTACACAGCGAAAAATCTATTTCTCTGAGTTGCCCATGATCCGTCTGAGTTCCTACGACTCGTCATTACTGGATTCAAATTTAAGTTAAACATAAAATATTAATTAATTATGTTAAGTTTGTATAAAGTAGACTCTTAGAATATGTGTTGTTTGTGTCGTAGAATTCAAAGTTGAATATTAATGTACCAAGGCTTTTAGAGTTTCTTCCAGGCATCTCTTCGGAAAAAAAATATCTACCACCCCCCCCCCCCCCAAGAAATTAGAATTTATATAGAAAATATTTACTTTGACCATTGTCCACCCCCCACCCCCAATTTCAAAGCCCCCCCCCCCCCCCCCCCTCCGCCTCCGGAGAAAATGTCTGGAAGAAACTTTAAATGCTTCTTTCAATTAGTTGAAACAACAAAATCGATAATGTAAAAAAAAATAAACAAAAGCATGATTTAAAAATGATTTAACATTTATAGCCATTAACGTGATATTGTTAAGCTGGTTCGGGCAATACATCTGACATTAACCTCTACTCACAAGGACGTGTAGTGGTCAGCACTGCAACGGCTGACTCTTCATTCACTGGATCACCTCTTACTGGACGTGAGAATGTTTGTTGATACTCTGGTGAATCTGAGGGCCAAGTTTATTTTCGTTAGAATAACTTGTGCTCATGTTGCAGAAAGTTTAATGCGAATTCCTTAAAGTTATGTATTAATTCCATTTAACATATTTAATTGAAATTATATAACGACTAAAACGGAGCTTGGTTAGCAAAACATCAAATAGTTCTTAGTCATTTGGTTTAGATTTAAAAAAAAACCTGATATATTACTTTCTAGATGATGTTTAATACTTACCTGTATGAGGACAATTGACTTTACAGCTAATGTTTATTGTTCTGTGAAAACAAACAAATTGTAGCTAATAACATTGTTTTATATCACAAAATAAATCGATATCTGCGAATCAAATTAAACTTAAAAGGTAAATATTCATTGGGCATTTTGAATCTTCTTCTTCTTCTTCGTTCTTAATTTTTAGTGTTGGAAGTTATGGAGCCTTATCTGCCAGAGGGTTTGAACTCGAGACCTTTTTCAAATTTATTAACTATGTGCTTTCGCCGACTCGACCACGCCGACCCCTTGGCATTTTGAATAATTATAATATTAAAATATTTTTAAAAAAAACCCACTTTGGCTACTATGTTGAGTCAGTCCATTTCTCTTATGTTCACTGTCTTGACTTATGGCCACTGTCTTGCCTTATGGCCAATGTCTTGACTTATGGCCACTGTCTTGACTTATGGCCAATGTCTTGACTTATGGCCACTGTCTTGACTTATGGCCAATGTCTTGCCTTATGACCACTGTCTTGCCTTATGGCCACTGTTTTGACTTATGGCCACTGTCTTGCCTTAAGGCCACTGTCTTCTTTTATGGCCACCGTCTGACTTGGCTACTGTATTGGCCTATAACTTTTATTATGATTTATAACCACTTCCCCGATTGATTGATACTGCTACATCCAGCTTTAACAAAGCCAGTTTTTACTTGGAACATAGTCGGTGAGATCAAACGTTTGTCCAAACGTTGCTGCAATTTAGATACAATAATTAAATAAAAACGTACTCATCTCTGAGGTCTTGTCCTGCCATGTCTACGATATATTGTTCTCGGATCTCATCTTGAATTCTCGATAAACGAAGTTGCAGGGGCTTTTCTGCTTCTGTGATTTCCTTCACTGTTCAAGAAAAAGAAAAAAAAAATTAATGTTAAGAATGTCAAGAAAAGTTTTTTAGGATGATCAAATTTGAGAAACTACTATTTATACTACTATTATAAATATACACAATATAATATACATTTAACCGTGAGGAATAGAGTATAAAGCAGACACGCTTTTGATACTTTCAAAAAGGAGAGAACTTTTCCTTGGAATAGACAGAAATCAGGAGAAATGGCAAATTCTATATTATAGATCTACTTTAAAAAAAAGTAAACAATATACTATACATGTAAACGTAATGAATGTGGTATAGCTGACACACTTTTGATACGTACAAAATGGAGAGAACTTTTCCTTGGCGTAGACAAATTTAACAAGAAACGGGAAAATCCATAGAAAGATTGGGGCAGGAAAGAGCATCTTGTGGTATTTTGTTGTAAACTTGAGTGAGTGACGCCTCCACACACCCTCGGCTTTCTTCTCGATACGCTTGATCTCTGAGCTGTTGGTGGATGGTGAAAGTTTGCTTGGTTATGTTTTCTATTTTGCTCATGGCTTGTCAGAATGTAAGACTGTCATCTTCCTACCCAGACATCCCCCAGACTTGTATCTGATTTTACATAAACGCCCTTTCTCGAATGAATTTTTAATGGAGTACCGAAGCCCTTCTAAGAGTTGGGCAAACTAATTATAGGGGATCATTTTTGACACTAAGGGCAAATGCTGGGTATATATATATATATATATATATATATATATATATATATATATATATATATATATATATATATATATATATATATTTAAATATGTAATATATATATATAAATATATAATATAATTATATATGAGTGTGTTTGGTAAAATATTGTTAAGCGATTCCTTTAACACACTCACTCATACGCAAATGTTAGGTTATGTGATTTTACGGTGTTATGTATTACACATTATTATTGCGAATGGCAATCTTGATAAAGCATTTACTTTAACTCAGCACTAACTTAAACACGACATTTAATTTAACGCAAAATTTACTTGAACACAACACTTACTTGAAGACAGCGATGATGATGTTAAACAGGAGGATATTGATGGTGAGAAAATAAAAGCCCAGCAAGATGGGAACGAAATATCTCCCCGTCCCTGTGGGGCATCGAAGTTGTCCGTAGTCCTCATACAGGCTGGGGTCGTTGGTGCATGTTGGCTCATCTGTAGATGTTTACAAGAAGTCGATATTTGATACTATTAAACATAAAAAGCCAATATGTAAAAATATTTTTTAAACGATTCTTCGCAGCTTTTTTTATGTAACGGAACTATCGAATACCTGATGGAACGTAATTGTGCCTAAATAAAATAAACCGTAAAAGTTCTAAATTAGCTTGGTGTTATTCTAAAGCGTGTGTTCCTGTAAAGCGTTTGAACTCATGTAGCGTTATCGATTAAATAAAAGTATTCATAATTTAACTACATGTGTATGTGTATATTTCTATTTTCATTTGACAATTAGTGAAAAATAAACTGAAAAATATAATCAAAAGAGGCCATTAGGGAAACAATAACAATATTTAAAAATTATACAATAAAAAAAAATATTAATTTTATAAAGAGTTAATTTTTGAAAAAAAATATGTACGTATTATTACAATAAATACAAATAAAATATTCTTTACCGATGTCACCCTCCTGACTTTCTAGCTCGTCCAGGAAAAATTCACCAAACATTCCCCAAAAAGCTTTACGTATCACGTTATAAGCCAACAAGGGAGTGAGCTTAGATCTGGGATACAGAACGGACTCAGAGGCGACGGCGTAGGAGAAGAAAAACACAAGGATGATCACCATAAACCTGAGCAGTTTCAGCAGCTGTGGGGAAGTTAATTGGTGCGAAATTTAATAGCAGGACAGTAATGGTTGATTAAATCCTTAGAAAATTAAATAATTGTAATTTACGATTTGGTTGAATGGTAGAGCGTTCGGCTGCTAGCCCGAAGATCTAGAGTTCGGATCTCGTTTCGGACCCATGACTATAGGACATGCCTGAGTGTATCCTGCTCTAATGAGCAACTTATATACGTTGGAGAATTTAGGCAGTTAGGCATATTGCTGGCCGCACAATCCGAGGTCCAGATACATATGAACTCTACCTCATTAGCATAATGGATCGCTACTTTTCTGTCTATTTGTACAGTAACTTTAACAAAGCGACAGTTGTTTACGCAAAACTTTGTTTACTAATCTTTGTATAGAATTACAAAATAAAGATTCAAAATGTGTACAAACACGTTATTACATGGTTAACAAGAAGATGGACTGAAAGAATGAGAAACACGCATACCAACAAATACACGCATATATATATATATATATATATATATATATATATATATATATATATATATATATATATATAAATAAATAAATAAATAAATAAATAAATAAATAAATAAATAAATAAATAAATAAATAAATAAATAAATAAATAAATAAATAAATAAATAAATAAATAAATAAATAAATAAATAAATAAATAAATATATATATATATATATATATATATATATATATATATATATATATATATATATATATATATTTATTTATTTATTTATATATATATATATATTTATTTATTTCTAAAACTAGTATGATCGCAACATAAGAAGAAACACCCATCTATATCCCTTTGTCGTTAACTTACCATATTTTTAAACATGGCCATGAGAGGTCCAAAGAACTCACTGGAGTAACAGATCTCTAGAAGCCCAACAGAAAAGCCGATGTAAGACATTCCAAGTATGACGTGGGTGTAGTTGATCATCGTTACGCTGGTAGGGTTGTAAAAGACAGCTATGCGTAGCCCGTATCCCCCGAAGAAGAATATCAATGATATAAGCTCCACAATGAAGAAGAGCTGCTTCCATTTGAAAAGGGGGTTTCGCAAGTACTACACAAATAAAAGGTGATATGTAGAAATAGTTTGTTTTTTAATATATATACATATATATATATATATATATATATATATATATATATATATATATATATATATATATATATATATATATATATATATATATATATATATATATATATATATATATATATATATATATATATATATATATATATATATATATATATATATATATATATATGTGTGTGTGTATATATATTAGATTACAGACATGCGTGCAATAGCTTATTAATGCCTAACTGTGAAGTATCTTGTTCATAGTGTTTAGCGTTAAATTATTTAATATCAATCAAAAATACACGTTTTCAATCTATCATGGCGTTCTGTTGACGGGAAGGAGGATGTAAAAGTATTTGTCAAGCATTTAATGTATCTGGCTGGCATTGAAGAATTCGTCTTCAATTTACAAGGTAGTGTGACAGAACAAAGTGTAGAAACGCTAGAATTTAGTACGGTATGGACTTTGGTTTCTAGAATACGAATAAACGTACCGAAATTCGTTTCAGGTGTCATTAACTATTTGGATTTGTTTAACATACATGTAAGTTCGATATTATGTGGATAGCAGAATCAATGATTGGTGTGACAGTTACTTGTCAGAGCTGCTAAATCTACTACTGTATCTGACTTGGTCAAAACATTGCGACCTGTTAGATCACTACAGTCATTTGTTGAGAACGGTGTGGTTGTGTGGTAGGGCTAACGCCTGCTTACCCGAACATGGCGAGTTCGGATCCCGGGCTAGACTGTAGAATTGAAGTCCGCCCAATTATGATAGGTACCTGAATTGAGCCAGGGACACTAGGACGATTGGCATAGTGCTGACCACACAATCCGCTTTAAGACGTTGTCATTGAAACATTGGAATACTACATCATTCGTCCATGGTGTCTTGGGCCCAAATAAGTATTTCTTTGAGACATTTTTTTTCTCGGGATGGGGGTAGGTGGAGGTAATTAAAAATAACGACGGCTCACTATATTTTCCGTTGGGTTTGCTAAAAGTATATATTTTGTAAACAATTTATTTATATTTCCTTCGGTAAGAACAGCACACGCCCCCCCCCCCCCGAAGAGATGCCTTAAAGCAACTTTGACCAGACGAGTGAAATCGATAATCAATCAACACTAGAATCACGAGCTATACATCATAAATATGTGTAAACAATACAAAGCATGTTGTGGCTCAAGTCATTGTGGTGTCTTTAAACTACATACATTTCTGCAAACTATTCAGAAATGGGATAAATACTAAAAGTCTAATACTTTTGGTTTTAAAATTTAGAAGTTAGATATGTGATTACCTGGTTGAATTCCTCACAAAGAAATGTGATTATCCACGCCCACACCAACCATTCCAGCCAATGAAAGGAGCCTGGATGAAGCACAGAGACAAGCAACATGGCGTAGAGAACAAGAAACACCAGGTGGCCTAGCTGGGAGGCAAGATTTGAAGGCACATAATTAGGCTAGAAAGAGATTTAACAAATTTAATAGGACAGTAAACTACTATACCGCCTGACCGCGTTAGTAAATGTGTACAATCCGTGTAATTAATGAAATTATCTTTACCAACTGCAACAGAACAAGCACTGATGGCGCCAAAAGTTTTCTCACGATTGGATCATACTTGTTGGTCGTGCAGAAACAGAACATGGTCCATCTATGGATGTTCAATTTCAATTTTAAGTTATTGGCGATAAGAGTATGAATAATATATTTTTTTAAATGATGATCAAGCTTACATTGAAATTTTGGCCAACTTTTTATGATCACTGCATTCGTCGCATACCTTTAATTAGAAATAAAATCGATTTTTACGAGGAGACATAACAGAAAAAAATCTGTAACCTGAGTTTTTCAAAACTAGAAAACACCATTTGACGAAAGTGGACTAAGCAAACAGTAAACTCAATTGTGTTTAACATTTATAATGCAAGGAAACTGTTATATACAGAACTTTTGATGTGAAGTTGTTATAAAGTAGACACTGTGGTACTAAAATAAGTCACTTTGGATGTTGGATAAAAGGAATAAATAGAGTTCAACATCGTATTTTCTAAATGAAAACCGGATAGCCGTTTGAACTGTTAGGGTACCTAAAGGACAGCTTAAAACCCATAATTTGACTTTTTGAAATTAGCCTTTCTTTACTTGTTTTAATCAAGTAGCGATTTTAAAGTGCATGAGCTCAATCTAAATGTAATTAGTATTTTAGAAAAGCACGTAGAGATCTGTATTTACTCGGCAGTGTTCTATTTCTTCTTGTTCTTCTCCACTATCTCCATTAGCAGAACTCAGAGGAGGGCAGTCATTTTTGTTTTCAACTTGTAGAACTGTGCTGTTTTGACTATTCTTTTCATGATATTTTCCTCCATCATTTTGTTTCTGTAGTATGTCAACATTTTGTTTCTGTAGTATGTCAACATTTTGTTTCTGTAGTATGTCAACATTTTGTTCTGATTCCTTCATGTCTTCATTCACGTGCCACATGCATTCGTTCTTGACGTGAGTACCCCAGTTCCACAAGCGATCGTTGAGTTCTTTACACGGCGTTTGTGACAGGAAGTTCAAGTTGTAGTTGTTGATGGCCAGGTAGATGCACGTTGTGTTGCCCCATTCTGGCATGCTGAAGATTAGAAGTCGGATAGTTTCTTCGGGATATTTCTGGTAGGTTCGCATGATGGTGTCCACAGCACACTTCTCAAACTCTCTACAAAATAATACAGATATTTTTTTCAATGAACAATTTATTTTGAACAATTAATTTAAATTAATCTATGAGTTAAAGCAATATACTTTTAAATTATCAATTCATTTATACTTTTTTCTCTGCTCATTTAGTAACAATTAAATCTAACACATTCGACATTGTTAAGAATGTATGTTATAAGTTAATCTAAAAAAATTATATTCGCGTGAAAAAAAATGTGTTAGAAATATCTACATATGCAGAAGTAACATTGCAAAAGAGGTGAAACCGACTCAAAATCTTTCTTTAGCTGCAGCTGTTTGTCTTCATCAGTCTCGTAGAACCTCAGAACTTTCAGTATCCCACAAGCGTATAGGGCGGCTCCTGTTGGGTGCTGAAATATTTTTTTTTTAGTTGTCATCAAATTAAATGTTCTTAATTTATAAGGTGAAAATTACACTTACACGTTTGGTAAGATGTTCTTTACACTTTCACATAATTAATAAGGTGCCCATTACACTTTCACTGTTGATGATGTGACCATTATACTTACCGACACTCTCCGCCACAATACTTTGGCTAGTTTCGTTTTTCTGGCCCGGACAGACATTTCGAACAACTTGTTAGCTGGAGACAAGTTGTTTAACAATTGTTAGAATCTTTAAGATTGTAGTAAAGATTGTAGTATGATCGTGTGTGAAAAGAGTAGCAGTATTATGTAAAATGGTATTAATTAATGCAACATCAGTAATCTCAACGTCGGAAATACAATCGTGTAATTAAAATTATAAACATAAACTAAAACAAAAAGAGCATATGCAAATAGGTGGACCACAAATAAAACAAATGAAAACGTATATGCAATGCATGTCAAATATGCCCATCTCTCCTACATGAATCGTTTGCCTACTTGTGTTGCTTTCCGCCAGCTTAATTGGCTGCCCGTATAATGAACTACTTGGATAAGGTACCTGTATTTGGGATTGTGTATCGACCTTCTCCATAACCGCGTTCTAACCCCCATATTCTACCTACCTTTGTTGGTTAAAAAGATTTTTTCCTCGGCCGGTGTCGAATTCTTAGCTGCTTTCATTTCGGACTGTTTCATTTTACCATCTGTTTCCTTGTCGTCGGGCTGTTTCATTTTACCATCTGTTTCCTTGTTTTCGGACTGTTTCATTTTCCCATCTGTTTCCTTGTCGTCGGACTGTTTCATTTTCCCAGCAACTTCATTCTCCTCGGCCGGTTTTATGTCAACAGCCGGTTTAATATCTTCAGCATCTGGTAGTCGCATGTTGTAAATATCCCAAGATATTTTTCCCTGTAATGTTTCTTGCGAACAGTTGTACTTCGGTATCTACAACATCAAATCCATGAGAGTATGCAACATCAACAATATAAACGTTTATATACACATATTATTATTCTATTAAATATGATAGTTTTCTCTCAATAAAAAAAAATAAATATTGATTCTAACATGCATATCTACTACATGTATTAATTTCAGCAAACTAACACAGGTAAAACTACTCACAAAGTACAGGAGTCTCCATAGTCTTGCCGCTAAGCCCGAGTCTGTATTTTCACCTGTTCTTCCTTCACATTTGTGTTTCTAACCATATATATATATATATATATATATATATATATATATATATATATATATATATATATATATATATATATATATAATAGAAAACAATTAAACAAAGACGCAAATTTATATCTTGATGATTAAAATCAGATAACTTTATTTAATTTGACACATTCTAATATTTTTATAATGATTTATTTTCCCCAAAACAATTATTATTAAAGCTTAATAATAATGTTAACATTAAAAGCTACTTACACGAAAGAAATAACCCCATAGTCTTGCAGCCAGCGTTGTCCCTGGTTCTTCACACTGTGCGACTTTACAGTCATGTTTTTGGTTTGATTAAAAATGCCATGTTTATAATACACGCGTGTTCAGTGTTTCTTCCAGACTTTTTACTCCGGGGGGATGGGGGGGGGCACTTGAAATTGTCGGGGGGGGGGGCGGTAAACTTTCTTCGGGGGGGGGGGGGGGGTGGACACTGTTAAAAGTATATATTTTCTATATAAATTATATAAATTTCATTTCGTACGGGGGGGGGGGGGGGGCTTCACTGCGCGTGTTCATAGCTAAGCATACCTTTTCTCATAGATGCTTGTGTAATTATACCTGTATATAGTCGATTAGCCACAATCATATGATTTCTTAAATGAAAGACTCGTTTAGTTATGTATCTGTAGTGATTTTTTGTAGGAAGTTAGTTTTAATTTAAAACAGATACATTATAGACATTAAAACAGGGGAATTGGTGACGTGTTCTTGAAACTTATTATTCTTTTGTATCGATACTCATGACCTAATGTAAACTAACTCGCATGACTGTACTCTGGATACGCTTAGGATATGGGGACGGCGTGGTGTAAGTAACAGTAGGCCGCGCGCTCGTTAACACGAAAGTCACGAGATGCACTGGGGGTGGAAGGAAAAGCCTGGCGGAAACCCATGTGTCAGCGGCTGGTAACATGAGTGAGAGAAATGCTACATTCTTAACCCTGTTTCTAGACTGCCGGTAGAGAACGTATAAGCGAATAGAAGAAGATAAGGATATATCGCACATCTATATGTATAATTAAGCTGATGATATTTTGAGAATAACCAGCCGTGTAGTTTTAAAAGAGTGGCATGTCATTCTGACACTCAGAAAAGAGAAAATTATTTATTCACTAAAGACTGTAATTATAAATAAAATTTACTTTAATTAAAAACGGAATATGCATACGAAATGTATAGTAAATTAAACATTACTGATGCAAATAACTCACTGGATTTATTCGGCTGATCAAATTATTCCAAGCGGTATTTTCTTGTACAATATTATTCTCTGTCCTTTGAGTCGACCCATTCATTTTCTGAAACAAAATTATGTATATCAACTTAACACCCAAACTTTCACATTTCATAATTTTGAAGGAGTTTATAAACTCCTGAAACATTATGAAATACTGAAATTATTATAAAACTGTGTTACTGTAGTTTTTTTAAACGAATCACCACCAACCAACGTTAAATATTTATTTGTTTTTAATACTCTTCCACCTGGGGTAATGCCTAACATTACCCTTAAGTTAACAAAGATTGCAGGTGAAACTAACTGATATAGCCCATTTCATTTTCGGTCTTTCCTTCGTGTTTTTTTTTCTGTTACCTTGTGGAATCTTAAAATTATCACATGTCCTTTAATATTGATTTACAAAACAAAACAAAAAAAAAACTACCTTCTCATTATTTTCCAAAGCAAGATATGCTGTTTCTGGCTGGTGATATTTACAATGGTGTGTGTTCTGAAACAAACAAGTCTTAGATTTCTGATCTATTATATAACGATCTAGAAATTTTGTTAAACAAAACAAATATTAAAATATCAGAAAAATTGTTTTGACATAATGTTATATCAGAAATAGATCAAAGTAGGTAATTTATCCTTGAAAAGTTCAATGGAACAAATGGATTGTTACACATCTTTCCTTGGGCTTGACATGTAAGGGGCTTTGGTGGACAATAAAAAACCAGCTTTGTTTTTTTCTCCATCATGGTTTAGTACAGATTTGAGGTTAACTGATAATGAGCTTTTATTTATCATCCCCATTTACATAGGCGGGGGATTGTTATAAGGTGTGGTTTCAAAAATCCTATGTGTGTTTGTGTGTGTGTGTGTTTGTATAAAAACAATAGCCGTTTTGTAAATTTCAAAGTATGGTTTATGGCATTTAATTGGTTTGAATCTGAAGGTAATTAAAAACTACACAAGCTTTCATCAGATGTTATCTGAGAATCCCTGGAGATCCAAAGCAACCTGTAGAAACAGCTTTGTCCCCATAATATCTGCGTCAACATCGTCTCCATAATGATCAGGCCAGTGTTAATGTCTTCTTAATAGAGTCGGCGTGGTCGAGTCGGTAAAGCTCATGGTTGCTAAACCGAAAAGTCTCGAGTTCGAACCCTCGGGCAGATGAGGCTCGTTAGCTGGGGACAGCCACTCTTCTAGGAGAGACAACTCCAAAATTAAACAACTGCTGCCTTGTAGTTTGTTCTTGGTTGGACAAAGGCTATGGGAGCAAATCCAAAAAGAAAAGCAGGCTGAAATCGGAGTCAATGGCCTCAATGGCGCATAACCAGTTGACACGTAACGCTTAATTGTGTTGGAGGCGTGGTCGAGTCGGCAAAAAGCTCATGGTTGATAAATTCGAACAAAGTCTCGAGTTCAAACCCACTGGCAGATCAATCTCGATCCCCTTCAACACTAATAATTAAGAACGAAGAAGAAGAAGAAAGAAGTCTTCTTAATAACATTGTGTTATTCTGTAATCTAAAATCTACCCCTACAAAGTGATCCTCACTTTAGAAAATATATCTTGGTCGATGAAGTTTAGAATAGCCAGGTTTTCCTCCAGCATGTAGCGTATAAACTCTGTGTGGTCATCAACGACTGCAGTGTTGATTACTGTTCTTGTGCGAGCTTCATCCTTACATAGAAGAGATAGTTTGTGCAAGTGTTAACGATTACGTCTAGTTAATGAAAGATAATAATCGCTGCATTGAGGATTCGTTATGATGAGGCACGTGTGTCATAACGTTGACCGAACTTGTAATTGTCATTATGTTATGAAGACACTAACTCTACCTTTTTATTACAAACGTTATGCTTCTAATTATGGTTTAGAAATCGTAAACGTTGTTATCCTTAATGAATACATTTTTTAAGAATGATTATTGTTATTTAAAATAAATTAAACATAAGTAAAAAGTAAATTTAATTGATATTAAAGTAATATCGTATAAATGAAATACTTAATCAAGCATATTGAAAAAAACACTTACATCTTTCCAGATCTCTGCAAATTCGCGAGCCTTCTCAAGACTATTAACCTTCAGACACAACAAAAAGTACTCTAAAATTTGATCATTCGACTGTTTCTCTATTATAGCCACTGGATCTCTGTCTTTTTCCCGATTTCTGTTTGCCTTATCCTCTGTGGAGACCTTTACATGTATTAACGACGCCACACTGTTTGACACAGATTGAGAACTGTCAGAAGAATAGGCACTGCTGGTGCTCTGTGAGCTTGGAACTTTAGGGGGCTCTTTTTTGTTCAGATTAGGGATGTTATCTGCAATGGTAAATATTCGAGCATATATGCCAGGTACTCTCGTTTGTTGGTCGAAAGGTGAAACCAAATTACAACTTTTATGTCGTAAAAAGGAGAAAGTAAATGATTTTCTTTAAATATATCATAATGAACTACTATTTTGAAATAAAAAGAAAAGCTAGTCAGAGAAAGCAGGTTTAATTAAAACTTGTAAAAATAAAATGGTTTGGGCAAGTTGATAGAAGTGGAAAATAAAAACTAGGATGAATTCTAAAATTATAAGTATACCATACATTATGAAACCTTTATCCAGAACAAAAAAATCATTCTTTAACCTTAATCATTCATTAACCTTTAAGTTAAGCATTGCCATGTGCCTACATTTTAGTGTCATAATTATCTTTTACTGTTCATGCGGAAGATAAAATATACTTCTTTTCAATTAACCCGGCATGAAGAGAGGGAGGGGGTTAAGTGTGGAATAGAATTTACACAATCGTCTCCGTTTTCTTAAGCTAGTCAGACACTAATCAGTGCTATAAGCTAGTCAGACACCAATCAGTGCTATAAGCTAGTCAGACACCAATCAGTGCTATAGGCTAGTCAGACACCAATCAGTGCTATAGGCTAGTCAGACACCAATCAGTGCTATAAGCTAGTCAGACACCAATCAGTGCTATAGGCTAGTCAGACACCAATCAGTGCTATAAGCTAGTCAGACACCAATCAGTGCTATAGGCTAGTCAGACACCAATCAGTGCTATAGGCTAGTCAGACACCAATCAGTGCTATAAGCTAGTCAGACACCAATCAGTGCTATAGGCTAGTCAGACACCAATCAGTGCTATAAGCTAGTCAGACACCAATCAGTGCTATAGGCTAATCAGACACCAATCAGTGCTATAGGCTAGTCAGGCACCAATTAGTGCTATAAGCTAGTCAGACACCAATCAGTGCTATAGGCTAGTCAGGCACCAATCAGTGCTATAAGCTAGTCAGACACCAATCAGTGCAATAGGCTAATCAGACACCAATCAGTGCTATAGGCTAGTCAGACACCAATCAGTGCTATAAGCTAGTCAGACACCAATCAGTGCTATAGGCTAGTCAGGCACCAATCAGTGCTTTAAGCTAGTCAGACACCAATCAGTGCTATAGGCTAGTCAGACACCAATCAGTGCTATAAGCTAGTCAGACACCAATCAGTGCAATAGGCTAATCAGACACCAATCAGTGCTATAGGCTAGTCAGACACCAATCAGTGCTATAAGCTAGTCAGACACCAATCAGTGCTATAAGCTAGTCAGACACCAATCAGTGCTATAGGCTAGTCAGACACCAATAAGTGCTATGTGTATATTAGGGACGCCTAGGGACTTAAGACCGGAAATGTTAACCTAAACCTAAACCTAAACCTAAACCTAAACCTAAACCTAAACCTAAACCTAAACCTAAACCTAAACCTAAACCTAAACCTAAACCTAAACCTAAACCCAAACCTAAACCTAAACCTAAACCTAAACCTAAACCTAAACCTAAACCTAAACCTAAACCTAAATCTAAACCTAAACCTAAAACTAAACCTTAACCTTAACCTAAAACCTAAACCTAAACCTAAACCTAAACCTAAACCTAAACCTAAACCTAAACCTAAACCTAAACCTAAACCTAAACCTAAACCTAAACCTAAACCTAAACCTAAACCTAAACCTAAACCTAAACCTAAACCTAAACCTGAACCTGAAACTGAACCGGAACTTGAACCTGAACCTGAACCTGAACCTGAACCTGAACCTGAACCTGAACCTGAACCTGAACCTGAACCTGAACCTGAACCTAAACCTAAACCCAAACCCAAACTCAATCCCAATCCCAAACCCAAATCAAAACCCAAACCTAATACAAACACAAAATTTTAACCTTACCCTAACCCAAGCTCACACCAGTTTCCGATACGTATCTATTTCGTGGCAACTTTTATTTTACCAAATATTTAAAGTATTTGAACTAACAAATACACGTATAAACATCAGTATTAAAACGACACATTATATACAATCTAAGTCAGAAATCCCACCACTGAAACATAATTCGATGATAAACTTAGCTATTAACTCAACATTAACACAATTACCCTAACATTAAGTCGTATACTTCTTTTATCTTGTGATTTGCACTATTAATCATATCAGTCATTGCTACTTGTATTGTAAAAGAGGAAATCCATTAAAAAATACAAGCTTATATTAACAATTAATATAACACTAACCGATTCAAAACGCTAATAAAACAACATGTTTAATTATCTTCACACTTCTCCTAAGACCCTTATAAAACACATATCACAAATTCTTTTACGATAGATGTTATAAAACACACATCTTTGTTCCTACCTAACTTAAAAATATTATGAAGTAACACTTGCTTTTTTCTAGTAAATATCGAATGATGTAGTTATAATTGACAGAGTTATTTTACTTTTTGCTTTTCAGTGTAATAATTTCAGAATAAGCTTTCTCCGTGTAATTGAATCAAAGCACTAACTAGTCAAAATAAGGTCACTTACTTCTGATAGCCATCAAGATAGATAAAGCGATGTCGTCTTTATCCTTATTGTAGCCTCTCTCTAAGTTTACAACAGCGGTGAATGGAGGGTTGTGAGAATCTAAGAAATCTTTCTTACCGTTGACGACAATAGCTATACTAAACATTGTTTTGTCTGGTAAAAAAAAGAAATTTGCTCTAGAAAGTTTTGTAAACAGTGTAGTTGTTTATTTTTTTAATTACCACCGCTTTATCAAAAAGTTATTTGTGAATACTAAGTATGGGGATAGAATCTGCTGCATTGTTGATTTTTGTCATTACTAATGTTGTTGATATAATTTAAAAAAAAACATAATTTCGGAATAAATTAACAGTTATTGCATACAATTTAATTATTTATTAAGAATTGAACAATATTTAGAAAATTACAAATATTAAAACCAATTTCAAAAGCCTGAAAAGAAATGCTGTTAAACATTTGATGGTGTTGTTTAAATAAAGTTTAGCATTCAAGTTTATTGATTTTTATTGATGTAATTATTTTGTCAACTTGTCAAATCTAATTTTTACAATGCACATGAAATTAGTTTTGATACAGCTTTTAATTTTATAGTAATATGTTTCTTACTTGAATTCAAATCGACTGATTTCTTTTGTTTGTTTTTCTCAAAGTATCTGTTTCCATCTAAGTCAAATAGGAAATACTCTCTGGATGCATCCTGGGTTTCAGATTAGAAAATAAACAATTTAAACATAGAGTATTATAGCAATGCTGAGTGTAGTCTTTGGTAAGTAATAAAGTCCAAGTAAAGACAGAGCAGTCTGTAGCCAGACGGTATCTGAACCCGCCATTCCTGATTCGACTCGGCCACTGTGCTCAGGTAAAAGGTGTTCCACAAAAGCTAGTTCCACAACAGTTCGTTTCACAACAGCTAGTTCCGCAACAGTTCGTTTCACAATAGCTAGTTCCACAACAGGTAATTCCACAACAACTAGCTCCACAACAGGTAATTCCACAACAACTAGCTCCACAACAGGTAATTCCACAACAACTAGTTCCACAACAGCTAGTTCCACAACAGCTAGTTCCACAACAGCTAGTTCCACAACAGGTAATTCCACAACAACTAGCTCCACAACAGCTAGTTCCACAACAGCTAGTTACACAACAACTAGTTCCACAACAACTAGTTCCACAACAGCTAGATACACAACAGCTAGTTCCACAACAGCTAGTTTTTAATACACGTTGTTAAAATAAAGTTTTATTTTGATTATTTAATCTACAAATCTCCTCTTCGATTGTTTGCTTTATAATGAAAAAAAAGTTTAGTTGATAAACAGTTTTTATAGTAACCAACTAGCGATAGCTTTACCTGTGTGCCTTTAGTACATCGTCCAAATATTGCCGGATCCTTGTCCTTGGCATCAAAAGTTAAATGGACGAAACACCTGTGGATTACTTTGAGGACTTTTTTGTCATCGGTTTCCACAAACAGCCAGAAATCTGAAAAAAAATGTACATAATAAGGGATCAAGATATAGGCCACATGCATTTTATTAAAATTTACCACCGCATTTTGCCATGAGAATAAATTTAGTCTTTTCATTTTTTCTTAAATTTGCTTAAATTTAGACCTACTTGAAATAAATTTCAGTTTAAGGTGCTTTTACCACATATGCTTTGATCGTATAGAATTTGACCACACGTGGTTTGACCACACGTGGTTCGACCACACGTGGTTCGACCACATGTGGTTCGACCACACGTGGTTCGACCACAACAGGAGCATTGCACGCCCAAGGCCCTTGTGGTCGA